TTCACACTAACCTTACTGTTTTCCATAGCTCTAGACCTTAGTTGTGGGTTATGGTTATTGCATGTCATCTATTTTATGGTTTTTAGGATGCTGTCATTATTTCTATGGTTATGTTGACGTTACTGATGAATTGTCTTTTCTTGTTTTCTTGTTTTATTTTCATCTTCTTGAGCCGAGGGTCTATCGGAAACAACCTCTCTGCCCTATCGGGGTAGGGGTAAGGTCTGCGTACACACTACCCTCCCCAGACCTCACTTAGTGGGACTTTACTGGGTCGTTGTTGTTGTTGTATTATTCTCATATGTTAATCATGATACAATGAGCCCTATATATATACATAACATGTCCTACTCCTAATACATATAGGATTAGGGTTATTTGCTACTATTTAGTATTTACATAACTATTCTAACAACAACAACAACGGCCTACTATTACGCCTCAGTCCCAAACAAGTTAGTTGGCTATATGAATCCTCACTGACTATGTTGCTTGACTATTTTTGTTAATTATTTATTTTATTTATTTTCATGAGAAGGATTTTTTTTTTACCAGTGGTAAATAGAGCAGAGGGTTAGAGATGTCCTAAAACTAAATAAAATATGTTTATTAACTGGATCTTCGAATCTCACTGAAGATCTGGTGGGAAATCCTGTAAGAGGCCTATTACCATCTTACTTGTGAAAGACGAGAACACAACTCTAATCCATATATGTTGTTTTAAGAGAAATTGATACTGAAGTATCCTGTTATTCTGCTGTATTGAAATAGACCATCAAACAGCTATCATAGCTCCTCTTTAATAGGTTATTATCTTTCTTGCTGTGACCGGAATCCATATATGCATCTCATGGTTTTGTTGAACCTTGTCAAATACTCAAATTCAAGTTACTTTAGGTGTACTTGATATTGTCATTTGGATTAATATATCATCATACGCTGATATTGTCATATGGATTAATATATCATCATACAACACCAAATTCAATTATTTTCAGTTGCTCCAGCCGAAAACTTGGTAGTGTAGCGGACTATATTTCTTTGCTATAGTGGCCCTATCCTTGAGCTGAGGGTCTATCTGAAGCAGCCTCTCTACCTTCTCCAGGTAGGGATAAAGTTGTGTACACACTACCCTCCCCACACCTCATTTGTGAGAATACATTGGGTATGTTGTTGATGTTGCTATCAAGGCCCTATCAATCTCCTAGTACTCTGTCTGATTCTGTTGGATGCAGGACATTTTTGTCTCTCATTCCAGATCTCCATCCCGTTTATGGTTTAGTCCTTCAAATTTTAAAATAGCCTTTCTTGCTAGTTGCTGATTGTCTGCACTATTATTAGTTAATTTTTATCAAGCAGGTTACTTTCTCTTTTACAAGGTTTAAAGCATGGTGTGGGGCCCTACAATAAGGATTTAATAAGTGCCTAGGAGTAAGAATAGATTAGTTAGCTTTTTGGGTTATGCGGACATTACGCATGAGATGATTCATGCATTTTCCAAACGACATATAAATTAAAATATTGTTTGGGCATCCTCAAGGAATGGAGCAATTAGCGAATTATTAGAGATTATCTTGTTTCGTCATAGAGATAGTTATCCGTACAAGGATAGATGTGATATTTAGATAACTCTTAAATTTGTCTTAAAAGTCAAGTTTTAAGTATTGGAATGAAAATGACCTAAATAGTGGGGAATGGATATTGAGGATCCATATAGCCGACACAACTGAGTTGCGATTGAGGAGTAGTTGATTGATATATTATATATTTGTTGCTCAGCTAGTATTAAAGTTCAGCTATTGGCACTAACTTGTCTAAGGCAAAAGCTTAATAGAGTACATTGTCACCCGATAAATGTTTTCAGATTGTTTCCAGATGTAACAAGTGTTTGGTACGGAGGAAAATATATTTTGAAAAATGTTTACCAGTTTTCCCATTTTCGGTTGGCCTAAGATTACTTTTCCTTAAAAAGCTGGAAAATAACTTCCCTGGCATGCCAAGGGAAGTCATTCTCCCTGCACATGTCCGGCGCTAGACACATGCTCATAACTTCTGACCCATCTGCGTTGCTGAATAGTTGCATATTCTTAATTTCTGACCGGGCCATGTGCATAACTTAAGTTTGCTCTCCTTTTGTACTCCCTCCCCCCTCCACACACACACACACAAAGAATAGAGATACTCCAAAACCTGCAAGTTAGAATAGTTGCACATTTGTGTAACATCTCCCTTCCTACCTATATCAATATTGCAAGAATGGGCTTGAATATTTGTTGTACTAGTTATCGTGCCTGGATTATTGTTGCATGAGAATGATTAGCAGAATTTAGTCTTTCATGTTTTTTCTTCTATTTAACCTTAGTTGTGTTGTTGCAGCAATTTATGAAAGACATGCTCAAACTTCTCTGCATCTACAATAATAAGGGCGCGCATCAAGGCACTTATGAGCTGAAGCCTGAGTACAAGAGGTCAGAAGACAAGCCTGATTCTTGATTATTCATAGCATAAGCTTTCTTGTCAGAGGCCTTAGCCATCAGCCAGGGGAAAACACCAACTGTTTCAACTTGAAGACACCATTCTTTTTGTGCATAAGATCAAGTTTAGAGAAATCCTATGATTGTAATAGTCTATTGCTTTATATATTCAAATCAATTTTCTTCTACTTTTAGATTGCTTATCTTTTCAGCAAACTAGTATAAATAGGAAAAGCCGCCAGGAACGAAGCATATATTTTTGGAAAAGGGAAGCATCTGAAAATCATATAGACATTCACGTCACTGGACAACTATTATTTGCTGGCAGACTTAGATCTCACGTTGTCAACTTTGACTTTAAGCTAAATATACATACTTTCTTCCGAATTTAGGTAATAGGTATGAGTAACTAATGTTTTGACTTTCGTGTTCTCTAGCCAAAATTTTGCATGAGGCTTCGCAGAGGCGGACCTATGCAATAAGTAGAGGGGTCACTCATAGGCGGATCTACCATGTGAAACATGGTTCACGTGAACCCGTGGTCCTCGGGTTAAAATATGGATATGATGTACATAATTTGGAAAAAATAGATATATATACTTGATGGAACCCATGGTCAAAAGAGACTAAGAGGTGCACTGGTTTTGATCTCTTATTTCCAATAGCCTAAGGTCAGGGGATCAAATCCCTTACCAACTTTTTGGTTTAATTTTTTTTAAAAAAAGTAATAGTGAACCCATCCTTCAAACATCCTGGATCCGCCTCTGGGGTCACTGGCACCTGTAAAGTTCGGCAAAAATTTCATGTATACATATATATGTCTTTAGAAAATAGTAATATGTTAATAATATGCACTCTATATACAAAGCAGATTTTAGTTGAATAAATATACCCCGACCTTCAAATTCTGGGTCCCCTTTGAAGGTTCGTGGGTAGTCCTCTTACCAATTTTGGGAATGTCCTTGACATGCTCTTTTATTTTTTTTCCCCTTTGGTGCATGTATGAAGGGGCTAGGTCGTTGTAAAATTTGACCAATTCTTGTTGCGAAGTTTATCTACGAAAAGTCTGTGTGAGAGACATGCGCCAAAATTAGGCGCAAAATGTTGAAAATTACAGTATTGACATTTTCCAAGCAAAATCCAGAATTCTTGGAACATTTGATATTCAGATGAACCACGTAGTAATGGACGTAACAAGCTAATGCTGCTACCTAGGGGTATACATAGGTCGGATTAGTTCGGGTTTTGCAATTACCAAACCAAACTAATTGTGTCGGGTTATTAAATCTAAAGATCAAACCAAACCAAACAAAAAAAACTCAGGTTTTTTCAATCTCGGTTTTTCTCGGGTTTTCGGGTTATTCGGGTTTGTTCGGGTTTTTTTCCGGTAAAATCTTCGTAGAACAAAACAATTAACTTGTGCTCAAAAAAATTCTTTAATCCTAGTAAGATACAACTATATAAGGTATTTTTCAAGAAAATTGTGTTATGGCATTATCCTAAAATATTCAACAATAAAGATAATAAAATTATGTAATATAAATATTGCTAATTAAAAAGTCATAATAAAAATAAACATAATCTAAACGTATTAAGTCATGCTAAAATAAGTAGACTAATAAGGAGGTATTAATTAATTACATGACTAAACGCTAAAGAAAAAATAAAAATAGGTTATGCATTTTTATCTAAATTATTGCAAAACAAAAAATAGATATTCAATACATTGTTGTTCGTAGTATTGAATTGAATGTTTTTTGTTAGCGTTAATATTGATTTGATTTTGGTTTGGGCTTTTGTTAGCATTATTTAAGGGGCGATTTGCAGCCGTACCCTATATTTATGCCACCTTTTAACATGTACCCTATTTTTAAAAACTATTGATGTTGTAACCAACTAACAAAAAATCCGTAATAATATAACCATTATACCCCTTCCAAAACATATAAAAGATGCATCAAGCATACCCAGATTCAAATTCCAGATCCCTTCGTATCTCCTCCATCGCTCCGTCTCTCCTAAGATCGCCTCTCGCAAAGCAGATTTGAACCAGATTCAAATTCCAAATTCAAAATTATAAAATACATTGTAAGCATTCAAATTCATCTTCAAAGTTCAAAATAGTTTTTGAATTATATGTTTTCTGATTGATTGATTGAAGTTGTTTGACGAACTTCACTGATATGCTGAATTTGCATTCTAAATCTGTTTGACGTTGAATTCTAACATTCTAATCCGACAAATATGCTGAAATTTTTGGTTTATTTGCTAAACAAGCTGAATTTATTTAGTTCATATCTAAAAAATTCACCAAAACGAGCTGGCAAATAACACAACGAAGAAAAAAATTATATTAAAACATTATATGAGTGTTATCATTGTTTATTTGCTAAACAAGCTGAAGTTATTTAGTTCATACTTAAAAAATTTAACAAAACGAGCTGAAGTTTTCATATTGCACAAAATTTCATATTGCATAAAAACTTAAGCATTATTGCTGAAGTTATAGAAAAGAACTTAATAACGTCAGTAAAAAAAAGCACAGTATAAAAACATAAAAAAGAATTACAAAACTAAACATAAAAACCAACTAAGAAGTATAAAGCGAATACCAACAAATAACAAGGATAATGCAATAGAAAGCTAAGAAGAAAAAGGATGACAATTACAATGATATAAAAAGAGATGAGGACAACACACAAAGTACAAACAAAACTTCAGCTCTCTAGGCTGAAGTTATACAAAATGAACCTAAAAACTTCAGTTCTATGGGCTGAAGTAAATAAAAAAGCACAACATTAAAACATAAAAAAAGGATTGCAAACACTAACAATCATCATCATCATCATCATCATCATCATCATCATCATCATCATCATCATCATCATCATCATCATCACAATACTCCTCAATTTCTCTAAATATCTCATCATCATCATCAGTATCAGAGATAACTATAGGGTACTAAGGCAAAAGACCACAGAGTCCAACGAGACCATTCTTCAACTTGTTGAATTCATTACGCAACTGACTTTGTTCGACGATTACTCTGTCCATAAGAGAAAGAAGAGTCTTCAGGTTGTTTTGCAGCTTGGAATAGTCGTCCCCGATGGGAAACTTAAAACTATCAAACTACTGCACAACCTTGTCGAACGAGGTTGAATAACCTACACAACTACGTTCATNTGAATAATATCCACAACTATGTTCCAGGTTAAGCCTATTCTGGAATGATTCATTGGCAAAAAATTGTGGTCTGATTCTCTCCCAATCAGCCATTATTTGATCCCACAAAAGCATAAGATTAGCCATCGGTTTGTTATTGTACCACTCACACTTCAAAGTCTCCCACTTTTGCATAATTTCATCCATATTAGGCTTCCTACTTCTACTTGCACCAGACATTTTTACTTTAACAAAAGCTGAAAGACTAAAGATGAATATAAATTTAAAGAAATATGATGGAAGTCTATAAATGACTATGAAATTTTCAAGTGAAGAGATTGTTAATATAGACAAAGAGTTCACCTAATCAATTTAATATCTATAAATGTAAAAGTAACTTTTTCAGCTATTTTTACTGTTTTACGTTTAGAGAAATTGAATGAAACAAGATAAGTAGGTGGTAAAATAAGTATGTGGTAAATGCAAAAAGAAATGTAACTTCAGCCCTAATAAGTCCACCGTTTTTCTATAATAAAAAAATAACTTCAGCCTGAAAAAGTAGATAGTAAATGCAAAAAAGATAAGTATCAACTTAAAAAAATACCAAAACATGTTGAAGTTTTTGCCATAAGCTTTTTCAAAATCTTCAGCCCAATGTGCTGAAGTTATTTAGTTCATTTCTAAAAACTTCAGCACTTTATAAGCTAAAGTTATTCATCGTTGATTCAATAGTTTTGTCGTAAAGCTTTTTCAAAATCTTCAGCCCAATGTGCTGAAGTTATTTAGTTCATTTCTAAAAACTTCAGGACATGATAAGTTGAAGTTTTTGTCCTGAACTCGATACTTTTTGTCGTAAAGTTTTTTCAAATAACTTATGCAGAAACTGCTGAAGTTATTTAGTGTATTTTGTGATGAGCTGAAGTTTTTGTCCTACATTTGACACTTTTGTTATGACTTTTAACCAAAACTTCAGCTTAAAAAGCAGAAATTATTTACTTCATGTTCAAGTTTAGCATGTTGAATTTCAACAAAAATATACTTGAAATTCATGAAAAAAGATACAACATATTTGAATCAATCCAAGTCAACTAAAAAACTAATTAATGCGAATAGAACAAAATTTTAAAAGATATCACATAATTCACACAAAATAATGTATATTCACAAAATCGAATTTTTTTTCACTTACATCCTTGAAAAAAAAAGAAAAAATTAGTTTTTTATTTACAAGTTTGTCATGACCCGGATTTCACACCCTCGGGAGCCGTGATGGCGCCTACTGGTGAAAGATAGGAAAGCCAAATTATCCTAATTACTTAACCTTTCCCAGTTTTAAACCATTATCAGTGATGAGTAGATATCATGCAAATAGCGAAAAATAATTAAGCGAAAGACAAAATCTGACAATTTATCTTAATATAAAATTGCGGAAGTCTAAATACAACTCAACCCAGAATTTGGTGTCACAGTTTCAAAGACGGTCTAAGAATACTACATACAAAGTTTGAAAGATAAAATATACACTGATTCTGAAATGAGTAAAGGAAACAGGATAAAGAAAAAGATAGGAGGTGACGCCAAGGCCCGCGGACGTCTGCAGGACTACCTCGTGTCGCCTGTGTGGGCTGAAGACAGCACCCTCACTGCGGTCCAAGCACTCCGGTATCAGTATCTGCACACAGTGAAGAGTGTAGTATCAGCACAACCGACCCCATGTGCTGGTAAGTGCCTAGCCTAACCTCGGCGAAATAGTGACGAGGCTAGGACCAGACTACCAAATAAACTTGTGGGCTATAACTTACAAAAATAATACGAAGCAGATAATAATGATGACAACAATGATCAACCAGTGATATAGATAGCAGGCAACAAGAACACCGTAAATATTTCTCAACAAATAAAAGATACCAGTGCAATCAATTAATCAAGTCCTTCAAATATAAATCTCTAAGATAATATGCTTTTCAATGAATATATTTCCTTTAAATAAATATCTTTCAAATAAGCATCTTTCGAATATAATTCTTTCGAGTAAAGGTCACCTTGTGACGCCTCATTTCATAATCATAAATAATATAGGTCTTCGCCCACTTTCATATTTTCACGACACCTCGTGCCCAT